CTGCACCCACGTTGGGGGTGCGGCAGCGGGGAACCAGCCGTTTAGAACACAAAGGGAAGAGCCAGAATCAGATGAGTTTGGGTTAACTCTGGATGGGGGGGCGGGTGTCACAAGAGGGGGCCCCTTACCGGTGTCAGCTTCCCCGTCAGCAGCAGCAGCAGCGTACTCTTCCCCACGCCGTTGGGCCCCACGATGCAGACTGAGGTAGACAGAGAGCAGCCGTCAGTGATGCAACCGGGCCAGGAGCTTGGTGGGTTAGCACAGGGTCTGCGCTGGGACTGCACTCTCCTCTGACTGCCCGGGGCGGCTTGTTATTCTAGGGTCTCTCAGGGATGCGACAGGATCCACCTGGGCTGGGTTGGTGTTGCAGGGTCTCTGGCTTACTAGCCTGTTATTGTAGGGTCTCTTGGAGCTGCTAGGGGGCTGCACAGTGTGGTGTATTAAGGCAGAGTCTTTCAAGGGTGCTACACGAGCCACTTTGTTATTGTAGGGTGTCTCGGTGATTCCATGGGGCAGCTCTGTTATTGTGAGGTCCCTCAGGCAGGCTAGGACTTTACAGTAGCGTGTTATTGTAGGGGCTTGGAGTTACTAAGGAAGTTGTATGAGCTGGTTTGTTGCTGTAGGGTCTCTCGGGCATTCTAGTCTATTATCGTTGGGTCTCGCAGGGATACTACAAGGCTGCACAAGCTGACTGTAATTCTAAGATCTTTAGAGGTTGCTAAGAGGCTGCACGGGGTAGTTTGTTACTGTAGGGTCTCAAGGATACGAGGAGGGCTGTGCAGGTGGATCGTTATTGTAGGTGTAGCATCATCCCTGGGGCTGAACAGTCCAATTCATTGCTGGAAGGGCACTGGGGCCATGTGTGGGTGGGTTTGTTATTGCGGGTTTTCTTCACTCAGCGTGCGGGCAACCTGTGGAACTCCTCGCCAGAGGATGCGGTGAAGGCTAGGACTTTAGCAGGGTTCAAAAAAGAGCTAGATAGATTCATGGAGGTGAATTTATGTTCTTATTGTAGGGTGTCTTAAAGCACATCTGGCTCATCGTTAAGATTTTGGGGCTGGAGTTTACCATAGGGCAGCGACCATGGGAGCAGCCTGCATGTCCCCCTTTATACTGTAGGCTCGCAGGGGCTGCAAGCAGAGGCATGCCAGTTTGTTATGGTAGGGTCTCTCATAAACACCGACCGGCCACTTACTTCTCGACTCCATGTCGATCCCAAAATCCAGATTCTTGAACAGCAGCGGATGTCCCTCGTAGCCAAACACGACACCTGTGAAAAGGGCCGGGAGGAGGGTGAGGGGGTGCAGCCGACACAGCCCCACAATGCATCGCTCAGCTCTGGGGCCCGTGGGAAACCGGGGTTGGAGAGGAACCCTCAGCAGCTCGTCTCCCCAGGGGACAGAAAGGGGGCAATCACCCAGCTTTGGAATGCAGCCACCTCTGGGGTGGGGCAGCTGGGGGTGGGGCGGCTGGGGGGCCGCCCCAGAGCAATG